CTATGGCAAATATCTTGGCGATTAAGTATCCACATTTTCAAGTGTCAATCGTTTATGTCTGGTGCAGATTCTGCTGTCTTATTTGCTTTATAAAATTAGTGTTAGTTGGAAATTGGAATAACCTCATTGTTTTCTCGTTCAACAGGAACTCATCATTCTTGGATTCATATCTGGATCCTGCTTTATGTCCCTGATCAAAGACCCAGGTGAACGACGCAAAGAACAATGGGAAAAAGCTGCACAAGCACAATGTGGTTTGAATTTTGCTAAAATGCTTGGATATGGTGACCTTGGGGGGCTTTCTTCAACTGCTGCTGAAGAATATTCTCTTCATTCTAAATATCTTGCTAAAGCAAACTCCCTTCATCTTTCTGAAATCGCTGAAATGAAAATTGCGTAAGCAAATTATGAACTTCTATTTTAGAATGCTTGTGTGTAATTCTCACAATTTTTTTATTTGCTTCCTCAATGCAAAGTATCTAATAACTTCTTAAACTTGTACTTTTTACTTGCGCAGTGTCCATCAGCATCTTTGTAACCATCATAGAGCCCAATTTGTTAAATTGAAACAAGAACAGTAAATTTAAACTGGACGCTGATAGTTATAATTCCTTTCTTCAATCTGCTCTTACATTTTTTATATAGAATCTTGAAGGAAACAATTTAATTTGGATTCTTGGCATGGTCATGTTTGTGCTGGGAATGTCGTAGTGTTTTGAATTACTTTGGCATCAACTGTTTTAAGTCATTTCTTTGTTGACCTTCCGGTTTCATAAATCCACAACAGTGAACCGTTGTATTAATTTCTGAAAGTTAAAGCGGACCTCCATTATTTATTTATTTATTTTTTGTTTCAGCCATCGTGGTGGGGTTGACAGTGAAGGTCGTCCAGTGATGGTTGTCGTGGGAGCACATTTTCTGTTAAGATGTCTTGATCTAGAGCAGTTTCTGTTGTATGTAGTGAAGGTGAACTATTACAAGTGTTCTCAATCAAGATTTTCATAATCTCTATGGATGCACCCAATTATGCTATTTTACAATTCATGGCCTTGCTCCAATTTTTCCTTGAATCTGTTTGTACTAGTGATATTGCAGTAGATAATTCATATTATTACATTTCAGGAGTTTAAGCCTTTGATACAGAAGCCTTATACTATCGTATATCTCCATTCCGCAGCACCATTACAATCGTGAGTATACTTTGCTTATACTGTTTCGGTTATTTGATCTGAAAATGAGTAATTTTCTTTCGTTCATTTTGCAATTATTGAAAATGACTTTAACGATAGGTCGATTTTTGTTTATGTTTGGGCTTGTGAAGGGATGGTGATGCATTGTGAAACTTATATATTTATGATTTGCATAAACAGGCGAACGGATCTGGGATGGATGAAAAGATTACAAAAAATACTTGGCCGGAAACACCAGCATGATCTTCATGTATGTAGCCCGGGATTCTTCCTCCTACCCCATACTCTGTTCTATAATTTTATGTGCAATAACCTGTCTGTTTTTCAATTGGTGTCTCTTTCTGTGGGGTAGGCATGTTAGATTCTTCATCCGACCTTGGAGTTGAAAGGTGCAATTCTTGCATTGCAGTTGTTCGTGGATGAGGAGGTATGGCTGATCTCTATATTTTTTCACTCCCAGAATAACAAGTCTAAATTTGGAGTAACTTGTTACTTTTGCAGTAGCTTTTGAATTTTTGAAACTGATTTTAGGTGTGGATGAAGGTGGTATACGTTGATCGTCATCTACAATTATTCAAATATGTTCCCGCGAGCAATTAGCAATTCCAGATTTCGTGTTTCTGTTGAGTTTTCACGCTTCTGATCAATCATTTTCATCGTTATGCAATTTATATTACCTAGAGATAGCGAGTTTCTGCCTTGGCCATGTTTTGTTACAAGTGGCCAACAACATCTACAATCTGAGCTTAGGGTGGAAACCCAGACTTGATTTTGGGTGATATAGGGTTAATTGTATTTGTGCCATCAGCTAGTGGTGGGCATGGGTTGGGTCAATCCAACATGATCTGTTTGATCTAAAATCAAATCAATCCAACCCGATTAATAGTTTAAATCCAAGTAAACTGGGTCGATTTGGGTTGGATTGGGTTGGTTGGTTTGGACTTCGGCCCAATTAAAGTTGGATATGATTAATTTTTTTTTTTTTTTGTTGAATTTGGATAAATTTTTAAAGTTTGAAATTACTTGAAAACCTCTATATTTTTATTACCTATATAAGTAATTCTTTCTGAAAAATAATGTATGAATAAGTTTAAAGTTTATGATGCATTTTCTTTTTTACAATTCTTTGAAATTTATTAATTTCACTATCATGTTCTTAATTTTTACTTTATTATCAAATAACATTTTATTTATACAAAGTGTTCATGTGAACCAATTTATGTAAATAAAACGGTTAATAGCATAAAACGCCTTACGTTCGATTCTTCTTGGGGAAAATATCCCTACATTTCATTTTTTTTTGTATTTTTGTCCTTATTTCAATGTTTCGTTGCAGAAAACGTCATTTTTACCCTTTTTAGTTTAAAATGATCAAAATACCTTTCTATTTTTAAAAAGTGTAAGTGAGTCCAAATAATTATTAAAAGATCTAATAGTACAAAACGTCTTTACGTTTGGCCTGTAGTGTACAAAATATCCATACGTTTCAAATTGGTGAAAATGACGTTTTCCACAACAAATGAAAAGGACGATTTTATGCGGCCCTATCAACTATAGCTTTTGGTGACAATGCCCTACATCACTTAGCCCTTGTTTGGCCTCCATTTCTTGGTAAAGAAAATGGGTGGAATGATATTTTTTTTTTAAAATGAGTGATTGAAAAAGAGGGAAAAATTTTCGATTTACGTGTAATATTATTTTATGGAAGATTGTATGGTTGAAAATAAGAGAGAGAAAAATAAAATGTAATGAAATGTAATTTAATGGGGGCCAAACGGGGGCTTAATAAGTAACTTTTAAGCTTAAAATCTACTTATCCCGAAATTTAGGAATTCGTGTTTAACTTATTCTAGAAAATATCAATGCAGGCATCATTTAGAAGTAAATGGGGGGAAGGGCCTAATTTTCGATCCAAGGATAAAAGTATGTCAATCATCGGCCATAGATATCATACTAAAAGTTGTCGAAATTCAACTATTGTGCCAAGAATTCGAGCACGTTTTTCCCTTCATATATTTCAATTGCTATTTACTACAGATTGATTACTCCTTGTATTTACCATTTTCAATGGTGGCTGGCGCAATTTTCGGAAAAGCAAATAAATTTAATAATATTATTCATTATTAGTTGTAACTATTATCGATTTAGATTAAAATATTCTTTCCAATTCATTTTCCAATGCATCAAAATGTACCACAGACCCTATTGAGAAAGACTCGCTATTACTTGCCCCCCAAGGCACTTCTCCACTGGCAAAGGACGGACGCTGTCAAATCTGGCAGAGCAGAGGTCGTGAGTTTGAAACATGGGGCTCTTGGAAGGCAAGGGAACATTTAGAAGGCAAGGATTTATTCTTGGAAGGCAAGTGGGAACTTGGAAGGCAAGGATTATTCTTGGAAGGCAAGGTGCAACTTGGATTGGCTTGCTTGGCACTTTGTCAGACCAGGTGGGGAGCGCTCGGACCCTGGCCAGTCAGAGGCACATCCTGCGATTAACCGGACTGTGTGAAGAGGGGTCGGATCACAGATCCAAGGATTAGTCAAGAATTGGACACCTTGTTAAAAAAAAAAAAAAAAAAAAAGCTTTGAGTCTATAGAGTATAGACATCTCACATCGGGTCAGCCTAACTGACTTACATCCATAAATAAGCATATTGGAAATCAATTTAGGTTGTCAATATTAATATGCAATTAATTTTACACATATGCCACTATAAATATTGAAAAAAAGGTTTTTCAAATTAAATACTTTTACCTAATGCCACTGTTCAGAATAGAGTTAAGTTTGTATCATATTTAAATACTCCATTTTTATATTGAAACGTAAGATTCATGTACCTGATATCTAGTTTATGGGCTCATTTAGTTCTCATGTTTTATCAAAATACATTTTCTTCTTTCTTCTTTTTAATCACACATTTTTCATTAAAATAATATTATACGCAAATCAAATTTTTTTTCCTTATTTTTCATCTATACATTCTGCTGTCAATCTACTATTCGAAAGTTCATTTTTCCATAAAAATTCGTGTCAAATACTCTCTATATTTCACTACAATTTTGAGTTGGAACTCCACTAACCTCGTTTCATTTTTTGAAATGTCACCTATAAAAATATGTGAACTAAAAATTGTACTGGGCATAAACATTTATGATTAGCCAAGCAAGCTCATGGCTTAAAATAAAGAAAAAAAATTTCACAAAAATTTAAAAATAAAAATACTCCCGCCGAGGTTTGGTTTAGATAGAAAATAAATTTACTAGTAAATTTTGATAGAAAATAGAGTGATATATAATTGAAAAGTTGTGAATCTCATATATAATTAAAATTAATTATTAATTTTAACTTCAATTTTTTTAACTGGACAAAACAATGTAGTCCATGTGTCAAGCTGCACTTTATTTAAAATATACTTTTTTCTTTTGGACTATACATCTTTCAATAAAATAATATTAAACATAAATTTAAAATTTTTGCTTCTTTTTTTTTTATTATCACAAATTCTTCAAAAAATTATTATTTCAAAAAATATTTGTTTTTCCAAAATTTGATTTTAATGGAGTCAGGATTAATAACTTTTACGTTTATACATGCTATGGTCATGTCTGAGCCACATTTTTCAAAAAATAATTTTTTAAATAGTGATTTGATATTATTTTAATAATATATTTTACAATAAATAATATTATACGTAAATTATTATTTTTTTAATTTTTTAACAATAAATTATTTAAAAATGCATTCTAAAGAAAATAAGGTGCCTCAAATAAGAGCTATAAATGTCCAACGTTATCAGTTCTATTTCTCCCCAATCAAGCAGGGCCCCAAATGTTCTTTTTATTTATTTATTATTATTTTGTTTGGGTTCATATTTTCCTTTTCCTAATTTCCCCTTCTTTGGTTATGAACATTAGCCAAATCTAGCTGTATGAATCACAGAGAGCGCGAGAGGCGCCAAATTTTTGCAGAAAACCAATTTCAGTCGGAATTTGAGTAATTATATCTCTACGAAGCCCAAAAAATTCAGTTACTTATCGCTGCACAGTTTGAACTTGTAGAGGTAAAAATTTTACCCCAAAAAAACTTACAAACAATACACCGCACTTGCACATTAAAACAACACACGTTGCAAGTGGAATAAGAATTCATTTTTTTATTGTACTGAGTTTTTGTATTTGGAAATGATGTCATCTGTTTTTTTTTTTTTTTTTTTAATGTTTTGAAACATTAATCTCTCTTTCTGTTTGTGTGTGGCTGTTAACTTTGGACTTTGGTTTTGAGTTTGATTCTTGTTGTCAATAGGTTCCAAGTTTCAATATTGAAATTAAATTCATTAACCAATTTAAATTGCAAGAGCGCTGGAGAAAAGAAGAAAAAGGAACAGAATTTGAATGCTCTTCAGTTGTTCTGTTGTATAATTTCAAGCTGTTTTCTTCTTTCTTTTTATGCTTGGATCTTGCTTAAAACAAAAACAAAATGCTTGACTTTGAAAAATCACCCTCAAGAAGTTAAGGGGAGTAAAAAAGAAAAACAGCCCAAACTGACAAGTCAAGGCATAAGCCTTAACAAAGAGCACAAAGTGCAAGCTTTGAGGTTCCTAATCAATGCCTTGTATGAGGCGTGCAACAAGACATAAGCTTAGTGTGCTTTCGACGACACATATTACAGATATGTGAAATTCTCTAACTACAATTTATGTGATGGGATTGAGGTTAGTAATGGAAATTATTGAATCTGCTGTAGAGTTTGTGTAAACTCCCTTAGCTTCATGTTTGAGATACAAATCCATATATATAGTTGGCGTTTGGTGAAACTCTCTGTCTTGCAACTATCAACTTCTTTCTTGAATTCTTTTCCATAGTTTTCATCAACACTGAATGGTGCATTGGTTCACTTTAGATACATGAAAAAGAAATAAAAGATTAAGAAGCGAATCCAGTTGTTTCCTTCCAACGGGACGAAAATTAAGGAGTGCAATTTCACTCTTGAAATGGTGCAAAATATGTCAATGAGCACAGTAGCAATTTCCCAGTGCAGTGTTTTTTGTGGACCAAACAACGAATGGAGGAATTCAGGGCAAATGAAGGAGATACATATAGTTTTTGGGGTTCAAAGACTGTACCTTTGTTCTCATGGTAGAAAAACCTTATCCTTTGTGGGTCAATCTGATGTATCTCAACCTGGAAATGTGAGAGTTGAAGCTGGATGGCTGTTTAGAGGAGGTGATAAGGGATCAGAATCGGATGCAAGCTGTGAGCGCAGTGAGAGTGCAAATGAGGATATACTAATGTTCTTTTTCCAGCTGGATTTGGCAACTCGTGTCCAGGTTTGGAGTGTTTGTTGCTACGCACTTTGAGTGTTTAAAATGGCTAGAAAAAGAATGTGTTAACTGAGCTGGTCACTGTATTGTATTGCAGTATGCTTTGAATGTGGAGCAGTATGAAATTGCTCAAGAATTGAGGAACAAGCTGACTGAGGTTAGGATTAGATCAATCATTGTTTGTATTTTCTTATACAACACACAATTACTGAGAAGAAGATTTTGTCTCTGTATGCATCTTTATTGAAAGCATTTGATGGACTATAGTTACTATTCTCTTTTGGTGGAGTTTACTTGCTTGTTTCCGCAAAAATTTAGAGTATGTTTGGCTAGTGTTTTTATAAACACTTGGTAAAAGTCAAACCACTTTTTATCCACGTATTTCGGGGATTCACAAATACTACTCAATTACCCACCATTCATTTCTATCTATATATAAACACTTTCCAAATTTATGCTTAGTATTCCAACTTTTATACTTGTTTGTAATTTTCTTAGAAATTATACATTGACTAGATCTCAATGTAAAATTAAGTTGTTGGGGAAGACCTTAGCATGCTCATGTGATGTTTCCAATTGAAGGTTGAATCTGAGGTTATCAAGCTCCAAGAAAATAGAAGGGGATCAGCCTCGAAGAGTGAAGTTCAAGATATAGCCATAAGCCTTTTGCGCCTTCGGTAAGTCTCCTTTCAGTTTTCCTTATGATTTCTTCAAATCATTGCCAAGTAAGAGCCTTATTGGTTCTTAGGTTACTTTTATCGTCTTTTTCTCTCTTTTCTTTCCAATTTGCCCTTGCCAGTTTGTCTAAAAACTTTATCGTGAAACTTGTACTTCTTTCAGTGCAGACCTGCAGAATGCAATTCAGAGTGAGAACTATAACTTGGCAGCTGAGTTACGGGATGAAATTTCCAAACTTGAGGCAGAGTCTTTGGCTGCATCCGTAAAAGCTCAAGCATACGAAAATGTGCAATACACTTTTCGTTTGGGGCAGAAAGTGAAGCATAAGATATTTGGTAATTGAGTTGACTCATTTTAGCCCCTGCCCTTTATGTTGTATTTCTCACCCTTTAATATAATATGTATGAAACTATGAAAGAATTTGTGCAAACTACTAGTTCTGCTTCTTATTCATATTGTTTTGACAAGTCCTAGTTCCATGTATATATATCCCATTCTAGAGAGGTGAAACAAAATTAGCATATACTTAATAGGTCAATTTTGCTAAATGTAGTAAACTATATCTATCTTCATTGATTTAGTTTTAAATAATACCTAAATCTTTTCACTACAATGTCTGTTTAAATTGTTTGGCATTAAAGTTTATTATAAAATGTTTTTAGTGTGCACACCTGAGCATACAAGGAGAAAATAATTTTGCTTCTTACCCCATATCAGCTTATTTAACTAGCTTCTTACATTATACCCACAAAAATAAACATAATCTTCTTTTGCGATCCCTTGTGGATCTTCGAGTCCATAATTGATTGATACCTGCTGGACTACTGATTATTCTTTATATTATTAAAATATGATCTGGTGATTCTAGGATATCATGCTGTTATTTGTGGAATGGATCCAGTGTGCTTTGAGTCAAAGTCATGGATGGAAACTGCTAACATCGAAAAGTTGGCTCGTGGCCCTGATCAGCCATTTTATCAGGTTTAACTAGATAGACACGCTTCCCCATAATTTTGTATGGAGAATGTGCCTTTTGCATGTTTGCCTAAGTTCGAAAGTAAGTAGAAGTTACTTTTAGGGTTAATTACACCGATGTCATTGAAGTTTTGAGTTGTTTTTCAATGGTCACTGGAGTTATTTTTAAGAGTAATGGTCACTCAAGTTTTAAATTGTTATGATATTAAATTACTTGGTCAAAAAAATTAACATTAAATCCTACGCTGTAGCATTAAGTGTCTACGATTATGGCCCAAAAATTTGACGAAAGCTAAAGTTGCACTGTATTTTCCCATGTGAACGTGTTTAATCATCAATTCCTAGCTCTCCAATTTTGTTGATTTAGCGTTATTTATTTGGTGACAATTTGGCAATTAATGACGCAGCGAAAAAAAGGAATTCAAGCGAAAACCTTAAGAACAAACTATTTGGAATCCACCAAATAATAAAGAAAATAAACTCACGAATTTTTTAATGAAAGATAATAAAAAAAAGAGCTTAGCCCTTATTTATAAGGGTTTACATGTAAACGTAGTTTATAACAACTAAAAGTAATGAAAAAGAAGTTTAATCAAACTAGAATTGTAAAAAAAACGAAAATAAACGAATTGACAAAAATAGCACTAAAACTTTAAAAGTTAGTTTTCAAGGCCTAAACGAACTCGAACGGCCGAAATTCAACGTACGTCATGGCGTAGCGGTGAGTATTGTTCCCTTCGTCGTTCTCCTTCCAAAATGGTTTTATGGGACCGATTCGAAATCAAGATGATTTATTTCTACTAGTACTCTTTTTCCAATATACTCCTTATGTCCTACATCAATCCCTTCCACCTCTGAAGAACTCGATCACGAGTTATAATTTGGATACAAAGACTTATCATCTTTATGGAACTCATACAAATCTGCCACATTGAATGTACGAGAAATACCCATAAACTGGCAAATCAATAATGTAGGCATTGTTGTTAATCCGTTTAAGCACTTTGAAAGGCCCATACTTTCTTGGTTTCAACTTATTGTAAGTACCAGCGGGAAATAGTTTCTTTTCTCAAAAAAACTATCACCAAGTCCCCCTTCCTGAAATTGTTTATCCCGTCTTTATGAATCTGCTGCTGCCTTATACTTTGCATTAATTCTCTCTAACTTCTGTTTTACTTCATCACGAACTGCTATCACTTTCTCTGCCAGATGTTTAGCAACAACACTTTTATTATCACCTTTAGGCAATTTCACCAAATCCACCATATGGTAAGGCACCTCTGTATACACAATAGCAAACGGAAACTTGCCTGTAGCAGTATGAATTGCACCATTGTACGCAAACTCCACTTGAGGTAGTGCAAGATCCCACTGTTTTGGTTTATCTCCACAAACACTTCGAACCATGTTTTCAAAAGTATGGTTAGTAACCTCGGTCTATCCATCAGTTTGAGGATGGGCAGTGCTGCTTCGATTCAAATTGGTTCCAAACAACTTCCATAAGGTAATCTAAAAGTGCCCCAAAAATTTTGTATCCCGGTCTGATGTGATAGACTTGGGAACTCCATGTAATTTAACAATCTCCCTGAAAAACAGTTTGGTAATATGTGATGCATCTAAAGTCTTCCGACAAGCTATGAAGTTCGCCATTTTGGAAAACCTGTCAACCACCACAAAAACAGAATCTACCACCCGTTGTGTACGAAGTAATCCCAAAATAAAGTCCATAGCCAGATCTTGCCATATGCCTTGAGAGACAGGAAGTGGCATGTACAACCCAGTATTCTGCGCTTGACCCTTTGACACCTAACAAGTATAACACTTTCTGACTATAATTCCAACATCCCGCTTCAACTGTGGCCAATAATATCTAGCCTCCAAACTGGCTATTGTCTTGTCACACCCCAAGTGTCCACTTAGACCTCCACCACGTAGATCTCAAATCAATTTTTCACGTAAAGATGAAACAGGAATACAAAGCTGGTTGCCTTTGAATAGATACCCTCCACTAATATAGAAATCCACCATTGATTCCCGATTCACACACTTATTCCAAATCTCCTTAAAGTCAGGATCATATGCATAGAGTACTTTCAAGCACTCGAACCCAATAATTTCCTATGATAATGTGATCAATAAGGAAGTTCTCCGGCTCAGTGCATCTGCAACACTATTGGTACTTCCAGATTTATGCTTAATTACAAAAGGAAATTTTTGAAGAAAAGTCACCCACCGAGCATGCATCTTGCTGATGTGTTTTTGATTATGAATGAATTTCAAAGTTTGGTGATCAGTGAACAACACACTCATTCTGTACCAGGTAGTGTTCCCGTTGCTTTAAAGCCCTAACAATTGCATAGAAATCTTGCTCATAGGTACTTCACTTCTGCCTGGCATCACTTAACTTTTCTGAAAAGAAAGCCACAGGTCTCTTCTCTTGCGAAAGGACAACCCCAATACCAATACCACTAGCGTCACACTCCACCTCAAATATCTTCTCGAAGCTTGGCAAGGATAATATCGAAGATGTGCACAACTTTTCTTTGATAAAGGCGAAGCTCTTATCTTGTTCCTCTCTCCAACTGAACCTTCCTTCCTTCAAACATTCCGTGAGAGGTTCCACGATAGTACTAAAATGCCTGATGAATCGTCTGTAGAAAGTTGCTAACTCATGAAAACTCCTTAGTTTAGAAACTGACTTTGGTGTTGGCCAATCTCGAATTGTTTTTGTCTTCTCTTCATCTACATGCAGACCATCTTCCCCTACCACAAAGCATAAAAATAATAGCTTCGATGTACAGAATGTGCACTTTTTCAAATCGATGTACAACTGATTTTCCTTCAGAACCTCCAAGACTTGCCTCAAGTGAGCTAGGTGATCTACCTTAGACTTGCTGTAAATAAGGATATCATCGAAATACACCACAACAAAAGACCCAATAAAAGGACGGAGAATCTGGTTCATCATCCTCATGAAAGTACTTGGGGCATTTGAAAGTCAGAACGACATCACCAACCATTCATAAAGTCCGTTTTCATCCCCTGGCTACGGATCTGGTGATAACCACTACAGAGATCTATTTTCGAGAAGACCTTAGAACCCCCAACATATCTAGCATATCCTCCAACCATGGAATGGGAAACCTGTACTTTACTGTTATTTTGTTGATGGCACGACTGTCAACACACATACGCCACTTTCCATCCTTCTTTGGCACTAGAAGGACAGGTACTGTACACGGACTCATACTCTCTCTTATGAACCCTTTCTTCAACAGCTCCTCAATTTGCTCCCTTAGAATTTCATTCTCTTTCGGTCTCATTCGGTAATGAAGCAAATTTGGAAGGCTAGCTCCAGGTACCAAATCAATCTGGTGTTGAATATTCTTCATAGGAGGTAACTCATTCGGCAATTCATCGGAAGCTAAATCTTCAAATTCTGTCAATATTTCTTGTACCTCAGGAGGAACACTCTCATCTTCTTTATTTGTTGTAAAAAGCCCTTTAACTACAACTAGATAGAAGCAATCAAATTCTCTTACAGACTCCGTAATCTCCTTCTCATCATTTGTAAGTGTAAGAAAACTCTCAGTTCGTTGATGTGTAGACTTTTCCGTCTGTTTGAGAGGAACTATAGCGATCTTATGACTATCCCATGAAAAGAGTACTATATTATCACGCCCTTTGAGAGTTGAATCCACATCAAACTGCCATGGACGTCTTAATAGGATATGGCAAGCATCCATGTCTATGACATCACACATAACTTCATCCTTATAATGCTTACCAATGGAAATAGGTATTTTGCAAGTTTCAGCAACTTGACCAGAAGGACCTCTCTTTACCCAACAAAGTGAATACGGTTTAGGATGGCCTTCAACTGGTAGTTTCAACAAATTCACCAACTTCTTCGACACAAAGTTTTCACAACTTCCATTATCCACAATCACTTCACACACCTAATTCTTGATAGAACAAAGTGAATGAATGATGCAATGATGTTGTCCCTCCTCCTTAGGTGATAAAAGGATTCGTTGTAGTACCAAAGTGAATCTTTCTACTCCTTCCTCCGCAACAAACTCTACTTCCGCATACTCATCCTCCACTTCAGTATCTTCCTCCTCATCTACTGCCTCTGGTTCCACCAAATTGACCTGCTTTCTTTTAGGACAGTTATTGGAATGATGCCCAGGTTTTTGACATCTATAGCAAATTTCTCCTGTGGGCTTAGCGTACGGATTTGCATTTTGAGGTGCTCCTCGAGTTTGACTTCTGTTCCCAAACTGACCATTGTTGTCAACTTTACTTCTGTTAGGATTAACTGGAACTTGTTGTGGGGCCTTTCCATTGTCTAAAGGGGTGGATGATGATGATTCGGCAGGTAAGGGCCTTCGGTATGAAACCATCCTCTTATCAGATTCCATCATCTCTGCTTTGATCGCCATGTTAATGGCTTCCTGCAACGTCCAAATATTCTACATCACAATTCTATCTTGAATAGCCACCTTCAAACCACTGGTATACTTGGCTACCTTTTGATTTTCAGATTCAGACAAATTATTCCGTTCCGCCAATCGCATAAATTCATTGGTGTAGTCCGACACTGTATGATTCCCCTGTGTGCATCCTAGGTACATCCGATATAAAATATGTTCATAGTCTGTAGGTAAAAATTGATCTATCAAAAACTGCTTCATCTTTCTCCAAGTTCGAATCCGACTCTTTCCCTGTCTCCTTCGAGCATTCTGCAATTGATCCCACCATACTGCTGCCGTAGATTTTAAACGGAATGCCACCATCTTAACCATCTTGTCTTCTGAAACATCCATAATTTCAAAGAATCTCTCAACCTCCACCAACCAATCCAAGAAGTCCTCGATCTCTATGTTTCCAAAGAACGGAGGAATGTCTGCTTTGATCTGATAATCATTAAAAGTATTTTGGTTTTGACAATTAGGATTATGCGGTGGTACTTCGATCTCCTCCTCTGACTCTCATTCACTGTCTTCTACTACACGCCTTCTATTATTTTCTCTACGAACTATAGGCTCCGCCACGCGCTTATTATTGATTGCCCGTTGTTCATTTTGCCATTGTTTTCAGCATCCCGTAGAAGCAATTGACAAATTTCTTCGATTTGAGTAGTGAGATTGTCAATCCGTCGGTTTGTTGCATCTAAATCTACCCTAGTAACTGGTACATCATCCATGTTTATGAATCAAAAATATAGAGACGAAATAGTCGGCTCTGATACCTTTGACGCAGCGAAAGAAAGGAATTCAAGTAAAAACCTTAAAAACAAACCATTTGGAATCCACCAAATAATAAAGAAAATAAACTCTCGAATTTATTAATGAAAGATAATAATAAAAAAGAGCTAAGCCCTTATTTATAAGGGTTACATGGAAACGTAGTTTATAACAACTAAAAGTAATGAAAAAGAAGTTTAATCAAACTAGAATTGTAAAAGAAAAAACGAAAATAATTGAATTGACAAAAATAACACTAAAACTTTAAAAATTAGTTTTCGAGGTCTAAACAAACTCGAAGGGCCGAAATTCAACATACGTCACGTAGCGGTGAGTATTGTTCCCCTCGTCGTTCTCCTTCGAAAATGGTTTTATTGGACGATCCAGAATCAAGATGATTTATTTTTATTAGTATTTTTTTCCAATATATTCCTTATGTCCTACATCACTTAATAATGCCACATAAGATTTAATATTAATTTTTTATGAGTGATCATTAGCGTAACAGTTAGAAACTTGAGTGATTATTATGGTAAAAATAATTTCGGTGGCAAATGACAATTGGCATAACTATGCAAAACTTCAGTGACTGTTAATGTAATTAACCCTTACTTTTAAATAAATTTTGCTTCCAATTTTGTTTTTTTTTTTTTATAAATAAAATTTTCTAGCTACAAGGTTACTCTAGTAACAGTCAATCCTGATGCTGCAGTTTGCCATCATCCATCATAAGATGTGTATTTTACATTTTTCTCATTGACACTGCCCAGCCAAGTTAAAATGGTTCCATTCCTACATGGCTCCAGTTTGATGTGTGCAGCATTTAAATGATAAATACCAAATTTTCTTTGCTATGAACCTTTGTTGTGTAATATTAAGTAGAATTAGCATTACTTGGTAACAAAATGGGGGGAACCCGCTATGGTTAATTTAACCTATTGTCTTGCAGGTATTGGTCAATGTACACGACGACCCCAACCTGTTAGTAGCATATGGTAAGCTCAAGTATTTTTGTACCTGATTCCATTATTCTCTTCAGTTGTAATTCTTGGTACTTGTACCTCTTTTTCATTATTTTCCTTGTTGACTGTTTAAGAATTTTCCTTTCGAAAGGCTTTAGACTATTCTCTAGCTCCTATCTACAAAATACCTTGTGCCTGCATTTTATTTGTGTTTGATTCTTGTGTTCTGTGGCGGTCCTCTGTTCTGTGCCCCTGATTCTATTCCCAATCGGTATTATTCTGCAGTTCCCGAGGAGAATTTACTGACACCCGATCAACAAGACACGGTTTGTTGAATCATCATTAAATTAAAAGGCTATCCTGGTTATTCTGCATCTAATTGTTTGTGGATTGTCATCAGCAGGATAGGTTTGATCACCCTTATGTTTCCTTCTTGTTTTATGGAGCGGACGCAGCTGGAGATCTAATCCCGATTAAACAGCTGCGTGAGAAATACAATCAGCCTCGTCATGAACTGCCACACGACCCACAAAATGAGGAAGATGGAAAAGATGCGTGAATCTTTGATGCCTCGTCTCCTGTCTGGACAAGCTAGATAAAATTGACCACTCATTTCTCTTAAAGAAATTTCGGTCACTATTGCTTTTACAGTAAAAAGTTTGATGTCCCATCGAAGAAGTTTTAAGTTACATCATGCAGATCTGATTATATGAATAACTATTTGTAGTACTACAGTTTCTCAAGATGAAATTTGATCGGGCTTCTCCATGTAACATTACAGTAGGAAGCTGCTGCTGTTTTGTGCATATCTTGGCTGTGTAAAATAAGTACAACTTTGTAGAAAAGAATCTTGCTTTAGTTTCATTTCACAGTTTTTGAGAAGCGCATGGGAGTTCGTAAAATTTGTTGGAACTTTAAAGACGTGTGGTAAGCACGATTGGACATGATAAGAGAGAATATCTCAAGTAATTTTGTTCCTTAATCTTGATTGGTCTAAGCATATCAACATACTCGATGAGCACACATCGAGCCTTGTTTTTCTCTTGCAGATGGTTTGACTTTCATTTCGGATTACAAATCTTTTTCCCCCAAAAGAAATAAGTAGTTTAGGGTATTGTTTATGAAGCTGAATAGAAATTCTTGCGGGTCTCCCCTTCCCTTGTGTTGTTAAAAGGCATTATTCATGTCAAATTTATATGAATTCGTGATCATTTTGAGATCTCTAATAACTCAATTTCGGATTGTAGTTGGTAGAAATCCATCTGCGCAACATGTGCTTTCCCTGCAATTCAAGCCTCAAGAAACTACTCTTGTTTTCTAGCTTGGAAATTCTTCTAACCTAGATTTCAATTTGTTGGATTTTATGCGCAATATTAAAGAGATGAAAGAGAAAATCAATACAAGAATTTACGTGGTTCGGTGGTGTGTCTACAACTACGAGAGCGAAGCAGAGATATCTTTTTATTCAATAGTAAAAAATAGGATTACAATAAACTATTTATATTTTATACTAACTTTAGTCTGGGCTTATATAAAATTTTAAGGTCCGTACAGGAAATACCCTTGTACCGTACTGCAGGGGCGTTGCCCTCGCACCCCTAACCAATTCAACGTCCCTAACAACCAGACAGTGAATTAAACCCGCGCAAAGTCAATGTCGTCACTCCGCTCCGCGCCCACATCAGCCCATTTGATCAAGGACCTTTGTTACACTCTATATGAGCCGCATGCATGACAATTCCCACATTGGCGAATATTCACCCCTTAGGAGAAAAAACATAACCTAGAAAACCCACACCATCTAGAACCAATGGGTTGTAACACATTCTCTCTAACACCTAGAAATATTAATCAAGTTCAAGCAGTGCTTGAACCTATCCATTGTGATTGGCTTTGTCATCATGTCTGCTGCATTATCTGAGGTATGCACCTTCTCTAACAACAGCTTTCCTAAAGTAACCAACTCTCTTATCTTATGAAATCTCACATCAATGTGCTTAGTTCTTGCATGATAAATCTGATTCTTTGCTAGGAAGATGACGCTCTGACTATCACAATACAACTTCATTCCTTCTTGCTTGATCCCAAGTTCCCCGACAAGCCCTTTCAACCACAATAATTCCTTGGCTCCTCAGTTGCCGTCATGTACTCTGCTTCAGTTGTAGATAATGCCACAAGTGACTCACCATTGATCTCCAACATATGGGACCACCTGCGAGTGTGAAAATATAACCTGTATGGGACTATCTGTCATCCAAGTCCCCTGCATAATCTGCATCTACATATCCCTGAACTGAAATATCACCATGTTGTCTCTCAAACATGATCCCGCACTCCATTATACCTTTCAAGTACCTAAAAATCCACTTTACAGCTCTCCAATGCTCTCTACCAGGTTTAGCCATATACTTACTAACCACACTGACTGCATGTGCTAAATCTGATCTGTTACACACCATTGCATACATCAAACATCCAACTGCGCTGGCATAAGATACCTTTGACATCTCTGCAACATCTTCTTCATTTTTGGGCACTGATTATTAGACAATCTGAAGTGCTTTGCCAGGGTGTAGCAACTGGTTTTGCATCTGACATGCAAAACCTCTCTAATACTTTCTTCAAATAATTTTTCTGAGACGCCAATAATTTTCTGGCTTTCCTATCTCAGTTGATCTCCATGCCAAGAATTTTCTTAGCTGGTCCCAAGTCTTTCATATCAAACTTACTGTTCAACAAAGATTTCAATTTCTCTACCTCATCCATGTTTTTAGCAGCAATTAGCGTGTCGTCCACATATAACATCAAGAAAATATATGAGTTATCCTCAAGAACTCTGTAGTAAACGCAACAATCATACTCATAACGACTGTAGCCAATCCGAATCATATGAGAGTCGAACTTCTTGTACCATTGCCGTGGAGACTGCTTAAACCCGTATAAAGACTTCTTTAGTTTACACACAAAATTCTCTATTCCTAGTTCCAAAAACCCTTCTGACTGCTCCGTGAAAATCTGTTCTTCTAAATCACCATGAAGAAAAGCAGTCTTCACATCCAGCTACTCTAACTCCAAATCAAAATTAGCCACTATTGTCAAAACAATCCTGATGGAGGCATGTCTAACGACCGGGGAGAAAATTTCATCATAATCTACTCCCTTCCTCTGTGAGTATCCATTTGCTACTAATCGAGCCTTGTATCTTTCTCCTTCCTTTTCTGACATTGCTTCTTTCTTTCTGTACACCCACTTACACCCTATCTGTTTCTTCTCCTCTGGGAGCTCCATCAAATCCCAAGTATCATTTTTATGCAATGACTCAATTTCCTTCGTCATAGCCTCTATCCATTTACCTTTCTCCTGACTACCAATGGCATCCTGAAAAGTTATAGGATCGCTATTGCTGGTAATGAGTGCATAAGAAATCGAATCCTCGAATCCATACTTTGCTGGTGGCTTGATAGTGCGACGTGATCTATCTAAGGCAACACTATGATACTGCTCCATCTCTGACCAGAACTATCCGCTCCCTGAGCATTAATTTCTGTGTTAACATTGTTTAGCTCTACTTGCACCACTTGGTTCTTACCTCTGCTCTCGTCTGAATTGAGCTTCTCTTTATCTGGAGAAGCTTTAAGCATGAATGTTTCATCAAATACTGCATCCCTACTTATCACCATCTTCCTTGCCTCTGGATCCCAAAACTTATATCCCTTTACACCTTTTACATAGCCCAGAAAAATGTATTTTCTTGATTTCAGATCAAGTATGGATCGCTGATCACTAGATACATGCACATAAGGCGGACAACCAAATACTCTCAATTCAAAATAATCAACTTCATTACCTGTCCAAACTTCCTCTGCAACTTTCCCATCTAGTGCTGCTCGTGGTGATCTGTTTATAACATAACATGCCATGTTCACTGCTTCCGCCCAGAAACTATTCGAGAGCCCTACATTTAGCCTCAAACATCTTGCCCGCTCTGCAATTGTTCTGTTCATCCTTTCCGTTACACCATTCTGCTGCGGTTTCTTGCGAACTGTATAGTGCTTCTGAATACCATGTTCCTCACAAATTTCAGAACCTGTGAATCTGTATACTCTGTACCGTTTTCTGTCCTCAGATATTTAATTTTTCTGCAGTATGGTTCTCTACTTCTGCTTTTCATAATTTGAACTTGGCAAAGATTTCAGACTTGTGTTTCATGAAATATACCCAAACTTTTCTAGAGAAATCATCAATGAAAGTAATGAAATACTGAGATTTACCTTTGGACAACTCCCTCTCTAGTCCCCAAACATTTGAGTGCACGTAATCAAGAATGTCCTATGTCTTGTGCTTTCTCATCTTGAACTGTACTCTGGACTGTTTTCCAAGTACACTGAACTTGTAGAAATCCAGCTTGAATGATTTTACCTCCTTCAACAAATTCCTCTTGTGAAACTCAACCATGCCACATTCTCCTAAATGCCCCAGTCACATATGACATAGAAGAGTGTCATCTGACTCAGATTCTACTGTAGCAACTCCACCTACAACTGTATCCCCAAGTAGTTTGTAGATATTCCTTGCTAATTTCTGACCCTTCATCACAATCATAGCCCCTTTCTTCACCGTTAGAGCCCCACACTCTAACTTATAAGAATAACCATTTGTGTCTAAAGTGCCTAAAGAAATTAGATTTTTTTTCAACTCAGGTACATGCCTAACATTTTCCAAGGTCCTTACCAGACCATCAAATATTTTAAATTTTATGGACCCCATTCCAATGACCTTACATGATGCATCATTACGCATCAGATTAGATCCAAAGTTACCAAAATGATATGAATGAAACCAATCCCGGTGAGGACACATGTGATATGTACAGGCTGAATCAAGTACCCAACAGTCATTTAATTTTTCAGAATTACCTACAGAGACTGATAGCACGTCTCCATCTCCAGAATCCGAGTCTCCTTCTGCAACACTAGCTGAGTTTGAGGACCCATCACCTTTCCTTTCATCACCCTGCTTCTTATTGGGACAGTCTCTCTTAAAGTGGCTCATCTGATGACATTTGTAGCACTTGACGTTTTTCTTATTTTGATTCCTAGATTTTAATCTTGTGTTCCCTCTATAAGAACCACCCTTGTCCTTCCTTCTCCCACGATCCTGGTAGCCATTTACAATCAACCCTTCACCTTATGAAGTTTCACCAGTACGCAGTTTCCGCTGGTTGTAGGCTAACAGGGCTGATATGACTTCCACCAATTCGAGAGCCTCTTTACCCCACGTCAACGTGGTTACCAGATGGTCGTACGAAAGAGGAAGTGAGTACAACAAAATCATTGCCTTATCTTCATCATTAACTTGATTTCAAGTCGCAATAGATCGTTGATGATTTGATTGAACACATTGGTGTGTTGAATCATATTCGTACCTTCCAACATCTTTAGCCTGTACAGCCGCTGCTTCAGATGCAGCTTGTTCGTGAGAAATTTCGACATATAATGACTCTCCAATTTCTCCCAAACCTTTGTCGGAAACTCAACGTCCATGACGTGATACATGATTTCATCCGCGAAACAAAGCCGGATTGTACCAACTACTCGCGCCTCGAGCTCTTCCCAATTGGCATCTGACGTACCCTCTGGTTTCTTCTCAGATAGTGCCATCACCATCCCTTGTTGTGCCAACAAATCCTTTACCTTTCGATGCCATAATCCGAAATTCCCAGATCCGTCAAACTTCATCATATCGAATTTTGCAATCAAAGAACTCGCTATCTGAACCTGGCTCTGATACCAGTTGTTGGATTTTATGCGCAATATTAAAGAGATAAAAAAGAAAATCAATACAAGAATTTACGTGGTTCGACGATGTACCTACGTCCACGA